CAACTCTCACAGTGTCCAGACTAGGAGAATTTCCTCGTGTTCAGTTAAATTAAGCTGCAAGGCTCTCCACTCCTGGTGGTGCTCTTCCGTCAGTTTCTTTAAGTTTCAGTCTTGCGACCTCAGAACCGAAAGACTTTCGTTTCCGCATGTAAAACTCACTTTTACGCTAGAAGCTATGGCTAATAGCTGTGAATCGCCAGTGAATGTGATGCTGTCTATAGAAGTGGTAAGATTGTCGAGCACTTTCACCGGTTTCGGGTACGGATTTTTGACGATATCGGCCGAATCGTACAAATTCACTATTCCCGTACTCGATCTGCAACATAGCATTTCAGCGACATGCACAAGGGCACCTCTGACTATACTTGTTTTCGTTCTGGCCTGTCGGAAGCCACTAAGGCCACCCACGATTTCCATCCTCTTTACCCCAACAGATCTGGCCTGGCTTTCGCTGCCTCGTTGAGCCTCTGCGCCACTTTCTGATTCCCACAAGTCCTATGTTAAACATAAGCTGTGTAATCAACTGTAATGCTGTGCCAACCGCACATATTTGCTGTTAACTGTGAGGACTTCAAAACAAGTGTAAAGACGCAGCCTTGCCTCTACCCGTCCCCTTCCCCCTCCCGTTCCCTTTCCCCCCTCCCCCTCCCTCAACCAAAATTATACCCAGGCTGGAACGCACCGGGCGGGCCCGTGCGATCATGCGTCTTTGCACCGGATTTGAATTACTCACGTTATCAACTGTATGAATGGCTGTTGCTTTACACCTACCCTTTGCGGTCACTAGCATAAATCACCATAAATTTTGTAAAGTAAATGTACAACTTCCATTTCACGGTCGTTCTTTAAAAGTAACCTAGTTGTTCAGTGAAATATTTTTCCGTCAAGACTTTTAAGTGCCCGTACGCAAGAACCACGCATACCTTAAGGCTGAATTTGAAATACTTAAGTTGTACTTGGAGAGGGAACATTCTCTCAAAATTTCAGCTTTCCAGCTTTTCTGGTCACCGAATTAGCAATTTCCCTGCCAAAACCTTCACATGCCCGTACTTGGGTGCTCCACGTGCCTGGAAAGCTGAATTTGAAATTTTTAAACTGCGCATGGACAAGGAACATCCACCTAAAATTTCATCCTTCCAGCTCTTCTGGTTGCCGAGCTAGTAACTTTTCTGCAGAAAATTTCATACGCTCTTACATGAGTACCATGCATAGCTTGGGGCTAAATTTGAAATATCTTTCAATGACATTCCAGCTGAACGTCGGGAAGCGATGTTCCCGTCGGAGATCGGATTTCCGATACAGATTTCTCCGATCTCGTCCACCTCTCCTCCCGTCCGTTCTCCTAACGCAAATTGAATTTATGACGGTAAAGTCCATCCCAGGTTCCCATGATCTCCATTCTGGAATCCCAAATGAAGGCCGTTTCGGAGGTTGTAATGTGCGATATTTATTGGAGGTCATTAGTATATAAGAACGGTGAATCGAGGAAACAAGCTCCACATGTATCATTCGTCCATGTCTACCGTCTGAATGCCTTTCATCAACCGATCTATTCATACCAATACTGGCGATTCATCGAATACCTGTCCTGTTAAGTGTCAATGTCTTACATAATAAAGCATCTTTCGTCTTTGGCTCAGCCTAACATCCACACTGGTTCCTTCGATCCATGGGTACGTACGTTCGTATGCGGTACCAGAATCAACACTCGTTTTAACTTTATTTTTGAAAAAATAACTTTATTTTCAAATACTTTTAGAAAAATAAAGTAGAATTCAAGTCACGAGTGACGGCGACGCAACAACCAGTCCGCAGCAGCAGCATACCGCTCCCACCACTATTCAGCACCAAAATAACGACACCGAACGCAACACTTCCAACCTTACCAGTTTTTTATGCGTTTTGTGCTGTGTAACACCAGTACAAAACGTATATTGTTACGGGGTTGTCTGTGTGTGTGTTTGTGTGTTCCGCAGCAACTTGTCCGCAACTTTCAACTCGGGAACCACAAAAGCTAGGAAGCTAAAAATTTAGGGGAATGTTCCCACCCACGTGTGACCCCGCAAATTTAAATTCAGCTTCCCCGTACCCACGGGTAACGCGTACGGCCTTGTGAAAGTTTTTTACGGCTAAGTTAATATCTCGGGAACCACGGAGTCTAGGAGGCTGAAGTTTTACGGTAATGACCCCCTGCCCACCCTCAACCTTGCCCATTCGAATTCAGCCTTCCCTTACCCGCGC